ATTCCTGACCTGCCTCAGATCCTCTTTCCTCTCTTTCTGTTCCTTTTCTGGCTCTTGTTCCCCACCCAACCCTCCATGCCTTAACTCTCATCTCCCAGACTCCATTGCCAACCTCTCAATCTACATCTTTTATGGGCACTTTTACCCACTTCCAGCTCATTTCTCTCCTAAGGTTTAGTTCCGGGTGTCCAGCTGCCTCCTCAGCACCTCACCTGGATAGCCCCGAGACATCTCATTCCGACCCTGCCCAACCGAAAGCATCTTCTTTTCCCCAGACCTGCTACTTCTCTGCACCCTCACCGCCCTCCCCAGAAACCTGGAATAATCCCAGACAGCTGACACCCAGCACAGCCTGTCAGCCCCCATGTCCTAACAATTCTACCTCTCCTAACCCAGCCCTTCTTCTCCATCTCCACCACCCTTGCCCCTTCCCCTTCCTTCCCATCTTCACCCAGTGTCTCATTAGACATGCCCACCCTATACCCCAGCCCCACATCAAGCCTCCTTGCACCAGACTGTCCTCCCGTTCCCACTCCAACTGGCCCTTGGCTGTTTCCTCAGCCACCCTGTTCTGTCCCATTCCCGGCTTTCCTCATCTCCCTTGTTAAGTCCTACATGCTCTTCAAGGCTCCATTCTAATGCCACCTTCCTTGGGAGACCTTGCTCTGCTCTTTCCAGTTTCTAAATTGAGGGCTCCCTGGGGTGGGGACTGAGGCTGATCTGCTGATTTGAATAAAACCAAAAAGACTCCCTTTTCCCTCCTCCACAGCGGATCAGTGCCTCATCGGTGGCCTCAGGACTCCACTACTTTGGCATATCTGTGGATGGTGGCTTAGATTTTAGCGGCGACGGCCTTGCTGACATCACTGTGGGCACTCTGGGCCGGGCGGCAGTGCTACGGTAGGAGTCTGCTCTGCCTTCTGGGGTCCCAGGACCCAGCCTCACCCACTTGCCCTTCCCTGAATGGCCCCATGAAGACACTAGGCACTGATGGGAGGAAGTAAGTGAGGTGGTTTGGGGAACTGGCTCTGCCCATCTGGGTCTGAACCTCAGTTCTCACTTAATGGTGGGAGCTTGGGCATGTTATTGAAGTCTAAGACCCAATTTGCTCATTTATAAATGGGAATAATAATAGTGCTTACCTCATAGAGTTATAAAGATTGAGAGAATCTATATAAAGTATTTATTTAGCACAGTGATGGCTGCCATTATTAATTTCAGAGATTCTGGGCTCATCCCTAAGTGAATTATCAAATTCCATGTCCATAAATAAGCTGAAGGAGCACCTATCTGCCCTGTGTTCTCCACTAAGGCCCAAACCTGGCTGTCAACTCAATACGCCTCTTAGTATCTCAAAGTCAGCATGTCTAAGAACAGATCTCTTATTCTCACCCACTCCTCCTTGTCCCCTAACCGATGCCACCCCAGGCTTCCCATCTCAACAAATGATACCATTTGTTCAGGACAAAAACCCAAGAGTCATCCTTGATTCCTCTTTTCTTTCCCGTTACCCCATCAACACATTTTTGTTGGCTCTGCCTCCAAAATACCTCCCCATCACTTGCCTGGATCACCACCATGGCATTCTTCCCTGCTTCCACTCCCCGTACTTCATTTTCCACACAACAGCCAGAGTGATCCCTTCATCCTGCTGCTTAAAACCCTTCAATGGCTCTCACTTAGGATAGAATCCAAATTCTTTACCATGGCCCGTAAAGCTCTCCGTGGCCTGGCCCTGCCCTGCTTTGCCTCCCCATCTCCTGTTACTACCCTCTGTCTTACTAACTGTGCTCTAGTCGTACTTACCTCATTCCTACCACGGGCCCTTTGCACTCGCTGTGCCTTCTGCCTGGAATGCAGTTCCCCTAGATCTTCATATAGCTGGCTCTTTCTTGTTAACAGATCTCAACTTAAATTGTTTCCCCATTAGTGAGGCCATCTCTGACCACCCAACTTAAGTAGCCCCCATTCTCTCTGACCTTATCCTATTTTTATCACAGCATCACCTCACATAGTATTTTCCTGTTTCTTCTAGTTTATTTGCTTGTTGTCTATTTCCCCCTAGAGCAGGGATTTGTCTCTTTTCCTACTGTATCCTGAAGACTCAGAACAGCAGCTGGCACATTAGAGATGTCCAATAAATATTCATTGAATGAATGAATGAGCCAAGTACTGATCCGGAAGTCCTATGGTAACTTCTCATGGTCCTCTTTGCTGTCTCGTTTAGCTCAAGACCTGTGATTCGCCTGAAAGTGTCCATGACCTTCACCCCCAAAGCGCTGCCCATTGGCTTCAACAGCAGCGTGAATGCGTATTTATGTTTTGAAATCAGCTCTGAGACCTCAGCTGCTCAGTCAGGTAACAGGCAGCCCCGCTGACCCGCCCAGTGTTGGGGTCATTCCTTGTTGGCTTCAGTAGGGGCCAGGGGTGAGGGTTTGTGTATTATGAGGTCCTGGTATTTGAAATCCCTCTACTTGGAGCTTAGTTCCTTTGACATTAGGTTCTGTTTAATGTCAACTGCCTAGAAAAGGGTGATCTGCTGTTAAGTCAACACTCTGAAGGAGTTAATCTGACCCTGTTAGGAAGAGGGGCATTGTACCCTTTATTCAGGGTTCAAGGGTGGAGTTTCTGAAAGAAGACTCAGAAAAAGGCAGCCATTTTCCCATCCCCATCTACTGTGCCTAGGTGTGTGTATGTGTAGGGGCTCCTGAGAAGTGCCATTCCTCTTTCTGATTTACAGCTTCTTCCCTTCCCTCCTCACTGTGTCTCCCTGGCTTAGGTGGGACTGGTTAACCTGTCAGAGACCTGGCCTTTCTTCCCATCCCCTTACCTGGCATTGGTTGGGAGGCTGTTTCCAGATAGCAGAGGGTGGGCCTGGCTTGTTGACAGCCCAGGTACTTATTGCCAACCCAAGAACTCCCCTCCAGAATAATCCATCAGCAACAGACCCAGGGTGTACCCTCTCGGTAACAATCCCTGAGATGTCTCTCTGATTCCCACAGGTCAGAAAGCACTCTATCAGGTAGGGTGGCTTTATCGCAGAAGGAGGCCATCATCAAATGTGAGAGTAAAAAGTGACAGGCCTATCAGTTCCAGCATATAAGCTGAAAGATTCAGACCACAGAGTGGCTGCTGCTGAGTGGCTGCTGCTGAGTGGCTGTGGGACACTGGGCAGGTGTCTTTCACTCTCTGGGCCCTGGTTTCTATTCTGTACAGTAAGGGAGTTGGTTCAGGTAATCTATAAGGTACGTCCAGCGCTGCTGTCCTCAGGTTTTACTCTATGGTTTCTCTCTCCATTCTCTGTATTATTCCCCCTCCTCCTTTTCTCCTTCAATCCCAGCCTCTGCCCTGAGCCCTTCTTCTCCTAGGGAAGACTGACTCGGCCTTGGAATACGCTGCTTTGGGTTTGGGGCTAGAGCACTGAGGTACCCTAGTGCCAGAAGACCACGAGAAAATAACCTTTGAAGTGAAGAAACTTGAAAGTCCAGCCCTAGGGAAGTGCCTATGTAGGAATACCACTCAGGAGGGGCTCATAAGGAACCTCAGGCACAGTGGAGGCCCCGTGTCTGTGGCTTGCCCATTCCAGCCTCATCAGGAAGATCTGATCTTCACTCCCAGGCCTCAGAGAGACATCTCTGAACTTCACATTGGACGTGGATGTGTTGAAGCAGAGGAAAAGACTACGGTGTTCAGACAGAAGAACTTGTCAGAGCTACCTTTGGGAGTGGTCCAATCTCTGTAAGCCCTTCCTGCTCATTCCCACAGAGGGAGAGGTAAGTGAGGAGTTTAGAAGCATCCACAGGGGTCTGTGTTTTTGAGAAGAGAACTGAGGTACATGCGATGAAAGATACCTATCTGTCCATACAAACTAGGCAATTAAAATAATCATAATAGATCAAGAACCACATAATGGTATGGGAGATGGAGTTAATTATACCAGAAATCTAAATTAAAGAAACCTACCGAAATTGAACACTAACTCTATCTCAAGCTTCCTAGCAGCTGAACAAAAAGGGAAATACTGTAATTGCTGACATGTTTCTTGGTAACAAATTGAGTATAACAGGGTCCCTTCCCCTTTCCACGTCATCTAACCTCACTTGATAACAATAGTGGGGCTGAGGGCCCTTCCACAAATCAATGTCAGAAAATTGAACTAGAGAAAGCAGAAATAGAAAGACAAAAGTTATCATTTGCAAAGGTTTACTCCTGACAAAGGCGCCTCAAAACATGAAAAAATGTATTTGTCAGGACTCAGAGCCTGACAGGACCTAGAGCTTTGGATCTATAAGGATAATTTATTCTAATAACCTTATAAATTATGCTTCTGGCTACACATCTGTTTCCACATCTGTTCAGATTAAGAAAGTTTCTAGAGAGTCTATGGCTTCCTTAAATAAAAGCGTAACTACCTTTTCCACTGGGAATCATGCTCATCTGCTCTCGTGATATACCATGGCAGAAAGGTTCACTCAGAGAGAATGGCAAATGACATCCCAGGCAATCAATCTCCTTTTCTTTGGTTTTTACCTCTCTAATATATCCTCCATGCTGCTTTGAGAAAGATCATTGTAAACACAAATGTGACCATGACTCTTCCCTTCTGTGGTTCCCATTTGCTCTCTGAATAAAGTCAAGTTGTTTTTTAACTCCTGAGGGCCAGAATCCCTTTGTGATTGGGGCAGGAACCATAAGGAGTTATGAGATCTGAGGCAATAACTGATCAAAGGAGATTTTTCCAATGCTCTTGGGAGTTTGGTTAAATGGAAGCTTTCCATTTCAGCCTGGCTTATTTGGAAGAGGCTTAGGACTTCTGGCTCACCACTCTTATTATTTATTTCTTATTGTGACTACATCAAAGTTAAAAGTATTCTCCTTGTTGTACTCTCCCCCACGTCCAACTCCAATTCTGCATTTCTTGGTGACTCTGCAGCTCTGTGAAGAGGACTGCTTCTCCAATATCAGTGTCAAGGTCAGCTACCAACTTCAGACCCCCAAAGGCCAGAGGGACCATCTCCACCCTGTCCTGGACCTCTACAGTGAGCCCTCTGCCATCTTCCAGGTGATTCTACCAACAGCTAGGACCAGACCCTCCTGGGAGCCATTCCCCAAAAAGCACCTGCTCCTCTAACTTCAAAGACTGTTAGAGTTGGGTCTTTAGACAGTATTTGGGCCCTTTACTGCACAAACGGGGGAAGTGAGTTCCTGAGATGGTTGTTAGTTTGCGTAAGGCCTTAATGGTAGGTAACCTGATCACCAAACCACCCACCAAGACTAGTTCTTCTTTTATGTTCACAAAAAGTGCTTGCTATATATTTAATGAAGGATATGAATACATTGCCTGACTTGGCAACGGTCTCTGATGACTGTGGTGGGGGTCCCATGTGGGAACTGGACTGGAGCTGACCTGCCTTGCATTGTAGAGAGGATGTCCTTTGCACACCTGTCTACCCAGGTCCTGCCCAGGACCTTCAGGCTGAATGTTTGGCCCACAAAACTTGCACCCTAACAGGTGGGTAGTGTCACAAGAAACTTTTCTCATAACTAAGGGAAATCAGAGGGAAAACACAATCAAATTTCCTGATTCTATGATATTTAAGGTGATTATGTTCCTACCCAAGCTCTAGACCCCAGGATATTCTTTAGTCTTTATTCAGAGAGCCTTATGGGGTATAGATAAATCAGCAATATCAGAGAATTGACATGAGCATTAGAGTCATAATTACAATTAGGTGGAATAAATTGAGTCTCCAGAAATAAAACTAAAAAACCAAAAATAGTTCACGCTGGCACAGAAAAGCTCCAGATAACATATTTCCAAGTAATCATAGGATACTTCTGACTGTCCACTATTTTTACCAAAATGCTCCATATTAATTAAATTATATAAGCCTTTAGCTCCAGTTTTGGTCAATACCCAATGCATAGTCACAGATAGTAGTAAATAGAAATAAGAGAGCAACATAATCAGGTGACTGTTTCACTGCTCATCTGCCTAGGAAGAGGGAGAATCAGGTTCCTCATGAACAAAGATTGTCATCTTAATTTTTTTAGGCAAGAAACAATTTTTAATTTTGTAATAGTATATATATTTTATAAAGAATTTTTTAAATTTTGGTACTGACGGCCAGTTAGATGATTCAGAAAAGATTTGGAGAACTACTGTTTTGTCAATAAGTATATTATTGCTAATTATATATATTCTGTTTTTAAAAACTTTATTTTGAAATATTTGGCTTACTAAAAAAGTTATAAGACTAGTCCAAAGAATCCCCAGGCATTCTTTATCCAGATTCTCCAAATGTTAACATTTTTACATTTTATCACATACTTTATCATTCACATTGCTTTATCATTCTCAATTTTTATAGACAGTATATATACATATATTACACACATATATACACATTCATATTTCTGAACCATCTGAGAGTAAGTTACAGATATACCTCTTTATCCCCCTATACGTCAGTATATATTTCCTAAAAGACAAGGACATTCTTACGAAACCACAGTACAATGATCAAAACCATGAAATTAAGAATGATAAAATACTATTATCTATAAACTTTATTTAAATGTTATCAGTTGCCCTATTAACATCCTTTATAGCAAAAGAAAAAAATTGTTTTCTGGTCCAAGATCATTCTTTACATTGTCATAATTTATATTTAGTCTCCTTTAACCTGGAAGTTTCTGTCTTTAATAACTCTAACATTTCTGAAGGGTACAGGCCAGTTATTTTGTAGAATGGTCCTCAACTTGAATCTGTTTGATGTTTCCTCATGAATAGATTCAGGTTATGCATTTTTGGCAGTAATATCATAGATGTGAAGTTGTGTCCTTCCAAGTGCCTCCTAGCAGGAGGCATCTCATGTAGCTTTGTCCTATTACTGGTGCTATTTCCCTTTGTAATTAATGGGGAGATGCCTTGAGATTAGGTATGTATCCTGTTTAACATTCATTCATGATTTCTGTCTTAATCAATTATTACTTTGATAGTTTGGTAAAGATATTTTTTATTCCACTGATAAAATGGGTGAGAAGTGATATGGTATTAATTTAGGCACATAGATATTTCCAGAGAATGAGTTCTAGCTGGGAGGTTAAGGTAGTTAACCCTGCTCTCTCACTGGAATTGGGTGAAAGAGAGCAGGTTACTTGGTTATATTAAAAGCAGAACTGGAAAAACCCTGCTCCAAACTGTTGACCCACTGAGAGCTCCAAACTCTGACTTCTGGAAAATGCATCTCCCTTCTCCACAAAGTAGAAGGTTTCCTTTCTAGCTCTGGAATCCCATTCCAGCTCCAGGCCATGGTAACAGTCCTTGTATAAAGCCAGCAGTCCTTGTATAGAGCCGCTGAGGTGGTCATTGGCTGTTGAAGAGATAAATGCAGAGATTGCCCAGTTAAGGAGCTGGCTGTGTTTCCTTCACAATAAAAAATAAACCTAGATTCTTTAGGAATTTTGATTTTTTCAACCCGAACTAGGGCTTTCCAGCCTTGACTGGGCCTTTGGACCCAATGAGACTTTCTGAATTAGCTTTAATGTAGGCAAGATTGCAAGGGGAATGTTTAACCTACAGAAAAGACTAGCCATGGGGACAGAGTACATTGCAGGACTGGATCTTGACAATATTTAGTTAGGTATCCTCCCTTTGTGCCCCTGCTGTTGCTGCTTGAAAGGACTAAGGAAGCCTTTATTCACATAGGTTTTCCTACCCAAAGTATTCAAAGTAGTAAGTTGTGAGTGTTGCAGCTTAATCTGCATGATGTGCATGTGACAAGCACTCCCACAATTCCACAAAGGTCACCCTGTTTTTGATTTGGCCAGAGGACTGACTTGTGGTATACCTGTGTTATAGGACCTAGCACGCCCCCTACTTTACAGTCACCCATCACCCGACTGGTACCTGACTGTCACCTCCTACCCATAAGATCAAGGAATGTCACAGTCACAGCTCTCTCGGTCATGTGGACACAACCTCAGCCTGTCAGCCTTTACCTCTCTGTAACTGTACCTTAGAGTCAGCATGAGGGACGGGTGTGTCCTAGGGAGATCATGAGGCAAGGCTGCTGGGGATGGCGTGGTCCCTGGGCTGATCTCTGCCCTTCTGTTTGGTTACAGCTGCCCTATGAGAAAGCCTGCAAGAATAAGCTGTTTTGTGTTGCGGAGTTGCAGTTGGCCACCACCACCTCTCAGTGAGTTGGATTCAGTAGTCATAGTTTCTGCAATTAACTTACTCCTGAAGGCTGACCTGGGCAAACCCTTCATCAGGATCGATTGTTCACTTCCTCCTCCTTCGCCAAAGGGCTTTTGCAATAATTATCTTATTGCTTCCTTAGCTACCCTATGAGGGAGGCAAGACAGAGATTTGTTTTCCCATTTTATAGATGAGGGAACAAACTCAGTAGTTGAGAGTTTGTGTAGAGTCATCTGGTGGACTTGAACTCAGGTCTCTTGACGTCCCCAGCAATGCTATTTCCATAACCCAGTGTCTCTTGCTCCTAGGACCACCTCAATTAGAGGTAACCTCTTTCTCGACTCATCTCTTAACCGAATTATTTAATTTATTAAATATTTATGGAGCATCTACACCATGCCAAACCCTCTAGATGCTGGAGATACATCAGCAAACAACACAGACAAAAAGCCCTGCCCTCCTGATGCTTTTAGGGGAAGAAAATAAATAAGTAAATTTTATGTTGATGAGATGTACTATGAGGAAAAATAAGGCAGGGAAGGTTGGAGGGAGTGCTGGGTGAAGGTGGAGTTGCAGTTTTGGGTAGTCAGAAAAGGGCTCACTGAGGTGACATTTTGGTACATGCAGGAGGAGGTCGAGGAATAACTATGTGGGTGTCTGAAGGAAGAGCAATAGCAAATGCTCTGAGGTGGGAACAGGCCTGGAGGTGGGAGGAATGGCCAGGACACCAATATGGTTGCAGTAGAATGAGGGAGGGAGAGATGATGTGGGGGTGGGGGAAAGGTCATTTGAGGCTGCATAGGCCCTCCATAAGGGCTTTTACTGTGAGCTGGGAGGCAAGAGGAATGATATGACATTCCGTTTTAACAGGATCATTGTTTTTGCTGTGTTGAGAATAGGCTGTGAGAGCAAAAGTGGAAGCAGGGAGATAGTAAGGAGATATTATAATTACTCAGGTGAGAGATAATGGTGACTTGGGTCAGAGAAGTAGCAATGAAAGTGATTGGTTATATTTTGAAGGGAGAGCCCCATAGGATTTGATGACAGATTGGATGTGGGGAGTGAGAGAAAGAGAGGGGTCTAAGAAGTTTTTTAAGGTTTCAGCTTGAGCATCTAGAACTGTGCTGTCCAATTCAGTAGCCGCTCATCACATTTGGCTATTTGAATTTAAATTAATTAAAAGTAAATAAAATCAAAATTTTAGTTCAGTTGTATTACACACATTTCAAGTGCTCAATACCCACATATGGCTAATGATATTGAATAGCACAGATACAGACCATTTCTATTACTTCAAAGTTTCCTTTGGATCATGCTGAATTTTTCAGTGATGGTCATGACAAGAACCGAATTGAGGAAGCCTTTGGAAGAATGGTTTTGGAAGGCAGGGTGTGGAGGAATAGATCATGAGTTTGGTTTTGGACACGTGATGGTCTTAAAATGCCCTCCCTGGCTACCAGTGCTGTGTGTGTGATATGGTACTGATGGCCAGCTGGCTGGCGTTGGTGTCTATGGGGAAGAACAGTTCCTGGAGTCCTGGTAAGCTCTCTCATAGATATTTGCAGGACTGCGTTTCGGATGTGGATGGCTTAGCGCTGCCTATCTCAATCACTAAGGGTCCAATTCAAGACTTTTGAGTGCTTTGGAATCTGGCCTAACAAGGAGACACAGCTGTTTCCCACAGGGAATTAATTACAGCCAAGAACTGCCCTCTCAATTCCTTGTGAACTAGAGATGCAGCACACACGCTGGCTCTACATCACCCCCTAGTGTACATAGAAAGCACTCTTCAATTTTCAAAAGTATTGACCTAATTGTTAGCATCCAAATGTCTCAGTGATTTTTGACCTTTTTGTGGACGTAGATCTCCTAAAGAATCGAAGGAAAACTACAGACTTTTCTCCTTAGAAGATTACATGTGCATACACCAGTGTTTGCATTTGGGGCCCCTGAAACTGTCCCTGGCCCTAAGGTTAAGAACCCCTGTTAAATACCGTGATGACTCTCAGGTCTCTCCTCTGGGCTCTAGAAAAGTATATCCAACTGACATTTCAACACCTCTACTTTGTTATACTATAGGCACCTCTCATCATGTCCCAGACTGAACTCTTCTGGTCAACTTCCGCCCTCTGATTTTCCTTCTGTGTTCTCTCCCTCATGAATAGCACCAGGCTCTCTTTTTCACTCTGCTCACGAGTACGGCCTTACCATTTCTGGTTTCTATCCCTTCTCTCCATCCCCACACTACTGTCTTATTTCAGGCACGTGTCATCTCTCAGATGGCTCTCCCAAGCAGGCTCTATTTTTGACCCCTCTCTCCCTCCAATCAATCTATCCTCTTCTCAGCTGTGATAGAAAACAACACAACAACAAAACATGTCACATTACTTCCCAGAGCTACATATTCCATCTTTGAACATTTCGGATGGCTACAAAGTTTTCTTTGTATTGTTAATGTTTTCCTGTAGACTCGATTATTGATAGTGGTTCTGCACTCTGAGGCCCCGCAGTACCACAGTGGACTGAAGGAAGCACTCACAAATCCCCAGGTCTCCTCTTTTCCAGGCTACAAACCACAGCCTTTAAATTGGAAGGGCCTGAATGATTTTGTAGGTGGGAAAGCTGAGGCTGAGGTAGGGCCAGGGGCAGGGTCTGTCTTATGCACTGCTATTTCTCCAGTGTTGAGCAAGGTATCTGGCACAGAGAAAGTACTCCATAAATATGTGTGAAATGGAAGAATTTTGTAATGAAGTGCCTTGCCTAGGGTCACAGTGAATTGGTGGTAAAAGAGCATTTAGATCCAGTTCTCCCAATCCTTTTTGAAGTGGTTAGACCTCAGGCAAATTAGTTAGCCTCTCCTGGCTTCTGTTTCCTGCTCTATAAAATGGAGAGTAACCATCCTGTTTCATACAGTTATTATGAGGATAAATTGAACCTATGAAACATTTAGTACAGTCCCTGGCATGTGGTAAGTACTAAATAAATGGCAGTCATTATTACTATCTCACACAGCAACTCAGGTAGGTATCGCAGTCCAGGTGTTCGCTTATGTTGAGGGGAAGAAAATCTAGGCTAAATGTATCCTTTAGGCAATTTATCTAAGTTAAGAATGTGCTACTGCATTTCATCTAAGTTTTTAAAGAATAAATAAACTGCTAACACTTATCTATTTGCCTACCCTGGGCAGGCAGGAACTGGTGGTGGGTGTCACAAAGGAGCTGACCATGAACATTAGCCTAACCAACTCTGGGGAAGATTCCTACATGACAAGCATGGCTTTGAATTACCCCAGAAACTTACAGTTTAAGAAGATACAAAAGGTAATTATGACAGCAGTCTTGGAAACATGCCACTTATGGTTTTTCCTCCCTGCATACCTTTTTTTTCTTTTTTTCAATAGCAACCTCTTAATTCTGTCTCCAGCCTCAACCTGGTACAATAAATGATTATTAACTAGATGAATCCTCTCCAATCCAACTATATGCCATAGATCCAGCCATGTCAATCTCTACCTCACAAACCTTCAATGGTGCTATTTTGCTGCACAATCACTCCTCCCTGCCTGCAACCTTTCTTAACCCAGGTTCCAAGAGAGAAATAATCTCTAATAAATTAGCTTGGATGGGAAAAGTAAAAGTCAGCCCTGCTATTTATTAGCCTGGGATCACAGACCAAAGCCAGCTGCAAAACACTAGGAAACAATATTTTCCTCAAGGATATCCTGCAGCTATAACATATAACTGAAAAATTTTGTTCTCTAAAATCAAAGGCAATCAGAATCTTTGCTGTTTGCAATTATATCTGTAATTATGAAACCATCTCACTCTTGCCTGGAGAATCTAAGTTACTCTGACAAAGAGAAGCAGTCTATTTCTATCTGAGGTTCAGAGCTTCACATAAAGCATTTCTGGACAAAATTTCACATCCATCTTAAGTTTTCAAAGAAATGAGTCTCTGGGTCCACTTTGCAGTCCAGTTGAGTGACCCTACTACACGCAACCCTGCTTTGTTTTGAGCCTATGCAAACACTGCTTCAGCAATTTACAAATAGCCGAGATATGGAAGCAACCTAAATGCCCATCAACAGACGAGTGGATAAAGAAATTATGGTTCATATACACAATGGAATATTACTCAGCCATTAAAAAAAAAATGAAATCCTACCATTTACAATGACATGGATGGACCTAGAGGTTATTATGCTGAGTGAAATAAGTCAGAGAGAGAAAGATAGACACCCTATGATCTCACTTATATGAGGTATCTAAGGAACAAAAAGAACAAACTAATCAAAAACAGACTCACAAATACAGTGGACAATTTGGTGACGGACAGAGGGGAGGGGAGTTGGGAGGCTGGGAGAATGGGGTGAAGGGTTAAAGAAGTACAAATTAGTAGTTGATAGTTGGGCATGGGGAGCATGGCAGAGGGAATGCAGTTAGCATTAATATGATGGCTAAGTGGAGGGCCAGGGGAGGGAGGGAGCAATTGCGGGGATTGTTTTATGAACATTATAGATATCTAACGAATGTACTGTATACTTGAAAATAATTTAAAATTAAAAACAAACAAACAAAACACTGCTTCATTTCCATTTCACCTGAATGCCTCCCTGCCCCAGAATCCTTTAATAACTGTTTTACTTGTTTGAGAAGACACACCACAGTGCAGTTTTCTCATTATAATGAGTCAATAAACTTGGCTTCATCAAACTACTAGTTTGTTCCTAGTGGGGGCTATTTGGGCTAGGACAGCATCCATTATATGAAAAGAATAAAATAATCTCCTAAGCATCTAGAATGGAATTAGTGATGCACCCTCCTTGGGAGAATTAAGAAAATAGTAGTCCTCAAATAATTTTCCATATTCAGTGGTCTAGATGAGGAATCATGATTGAAAAAGGCTGCATGGTGGTGCTTGGGCTCATGCTGACCTTCTGGCCCATCACATTATGGTAAATTTGCATTGGTCCAAGGACCAGTTCAGATGTCTCCCTCCCCATGAAAACTTTCAGATTCCTCCAAGTTGGAATTCATCTCTTTCTCTACTGCTTTTCTCTGTACCTCTTAGAGAACCACTCCTTAGGCCCTGTACTTGAATTCCTCAACTATCTACTACTGAGACCACCTGCCCAGCTTGTGAGGGAGACAGGGACTAGGTCTGATATATTGTGTCCCAAGCTCCTAGCAGGTGTCTGGCATGTGTTAAAATCAGCAATGTTGCTGAATTGGTGTGAGGAAACTGTTTTTTTTTTGCCTTTTAAGAATAGTCTTTTCTGTGTTAACAGCCTCCTTCTCCAAACATTCAGTGTGATAACCCTGAGACAACTGCTTCTGTCCTGGTCATGAACTGCAAGATTGGTCACCCCATACTCAGGAGGTCATCTGTGAGTGTTTTGATTAGCTGACTCTTCTCACTCGCTACCCTGGAGTTTGTGTCTTCTACTTCCCAGTCTCATCGGAATCTCTCAGTTGTGGTCTCCATGCTTCCCTTTACTGTACAGTCGATCCCTAGCAGCACTTAGAACTGCCAAGTTTGCTCCGAAAGTAGGGAGTGGTGGGGTCAGGGATACAGCCACAGGCAAACTGTTGGCTCACTGCAATACAGCAGAGTGAAGTTGGGGGTAGAATGGAAGGAGCATCAGACCCAGAGTCCTGATGTGCCACTGATGATCTCTGTAATGTGGGCAATCTCTGAAATTGTTTCCTCAGTTGTAAAAGGGGATTAAGAGGCTTATATGGAATAATAAACGTGGAAGCATGCTTGGATAAAAAACTGTGAGGAATATGAATTATGTTTTCCAGGCCTGTTTAATTAGTAGGAAGCAGTTTGAATTGTGAGTACTATAGAGAAGAATCAAGTGACTTTTTTTTTTAATAGGCAAACTTTTCAGTAGTTTGGCAGCTAGAGGAGAGTGCCTTTCCAAACAGGACAGCTGACATCTCTGTTATGATCACGAAGTAAGTATGCCTGTGACATAGTGAGCCTAGGCTATGGTCCTGGAAGAAATTTCCCTCCCATGTGCTATGGCTCCTACACTGCCTAGGAAGAAGAGAACCTCAGTGAACCCAGAGAAGACAACTGTGTCCCCACAGTGGCCTGGCTTTCCCTTCTTGTTATCAAAGATATTTAAAACATTCTTTTATTGATACACAATGTAAAATTATGGTCTAGTCTGGTAGAATGAGCCTTGGACTAGAGTTCTAATTCTGGTTCATTTAACTTTGGAGAAGCTGTTACCTGTAAAACCTCTATGTTTGGGGGTAAAGTGGAATATAGTGTTGGGAAAGGTTGTCAAATGGGGGTGATTCTGACCGCCTGAAGTAATACCTTTAGACATTTTTGATTGTCATGACTTGGGGGGTGCTACTGATATCTAGTGGGTAGAGGCCAGGGATGCTGATAAACATCTAACAATACACAGGACAGCCTCGCAAAAAGAATTATGGCCCAAAATGTCAATATTGTTGAGGTTGAGAAACCCTCTTTAAATCAGTGTTTCTCCAAGTAGGGTCTTTTAGCAGTCTTCTGCACTCGCTTATCTCCAAGAGTCTTTTCTTATCTAACCACTGATGACCCTGGGGAGCCAAGGTACAGAAGTGGCCATATGTACAAAGCAGGTGTGCTGTGAACTGACACTTATTTCCTAGTTTCAATGAAAGAAGATCTTTGGTCAGAGAGACCCACAGCCTTCAATACAGGCATGCCTTCATTGCAGTTCTTCCCAAGTAAGTACTTCTAAGGGGCCAACACCTGTGCAACAGCTTCAGGTATTCTCTCTTGTGATTGGAACTGGTGGTCAGGCTGGATGTGAGCACTGCCTTTCTTTGAAAGGAGGCTGCTTAGAATCCAGGCTCCCATTGATCTCTCTGGCACTAACAGTTGGGTCCTAATAATCCCACGGTAGTAATCAAAGGAGCAGTGCCAAATGGTCTTGCTACAAAAAGGTACTGTCATGATGCTGAGGGAAGAAGAGAGGGGCCATGGGCTTGAGAAGGAAGGAGAAAAAGAAGACCACTCTGAAGAATGATAGACACAGAACCAGCCCAAATACATGGAATTCAAATATTCTACCTAATCCCAGCTGTCCTACCACCACTTTACATTTTGACAGTTAGCTTTGATTCCTTTTAAGGATATGGTGCCCTCTGTCCTAGGGTATCCAAGTGGTGGCATTCAGGTTCACTTAAAACAAGAAGGGGGCCTTGAGGCCTAACACATGTCCTCTCAATTGCAGACCATCAGTGATGTACATGAACACAAGCCAGGGGCTTTCTGACCACAAAGAATTCCTCTTCAATGTAAGTGCTTAGTACTTATCATTGCAAAGCTATAGGTGGCAAAGCAACACCAACTTTGACTTTCCACTCTCTGGTTTTACTCTGCAGATACATGGGGAAAATGTCTTTGGAGCCGAATTCCAGCTTCAAATCTGTGTTCCAATCAAATTACAAGGTCTCCAGCTTATAAGAGTGAAGAACCTGACAAAGACTCAGGTATTTAGAGGCGGTTTTTTATCACAATTCTCTCTCTTTCCAGAGCAACTGTGAATAATCAAAGGTATAAAAACTATAGAGTTCTAGAAAAGGAGTAAAAACAAGATTAGTTAATTTGGGAACACATTAGGAGTAAATTACCAAAGTCATGTTTAGAAGGAACATCAACCACCCAGCTCTTAAAGCAACATTACAGTTTTCCCTCCCTTGATAAAAAATAAGCAAAAATCCAAACCTTTTTAGTAGCCATGGAGACATTTATTTTCCCGTTGAAAATCGATAAATTCTGCTTTTCTTTGATTGGCAAATGAGCTTGATAAACATGTGGCCTTCCTTGAATGTCTCCCTGTAAACTGTCTACCACCTTCCTTTCCTCTCTCCCTCCAGTCTGTCTTGGTCTCTGCCTTGCTTCAGCCTCTTTGTTCTGTTGACTCATTTGTAGTATGGCTCCCAATGCCAGCCTTATGATACCTACAGTAACAGGCTCTGATCAGTAAGACAGCTGAGGCTGTGGGCTTTCTTGAATTTTTTTTTTTTTTGCTCAGGCTACATAAAGTGTTAAGGCTCGAAAATGAAAATATGGAAACTTACAGAATGGACTCTGCTGAAAGAGGGCTTATAACTTGTGAACACTTGTTCTCATGTGTAGTTTGTATTTTAAGAACATTTCTTGTTTAAATATTTCCACAAACGTTTCAGTTTCCATTTGGAAACAAAATTGTTTGAAAAGCTGACTGAAAACATGGAAGAATGGGAATTCCACCCTGCTCTTGGGATAGAGATTGCACCTGAGGTGTCAAGGCTAGTGGCCTCTCAGTTTGGGGCACGAAGGTACCTTTGATTTACTGAAATAGTCTGTGTTGGCAGAGCAGGTCTGTGGCAGAGCTGAAGTTCAGCATTGTCTTATGGAAATACAGAATCTGTCTCCTCATTTGCTTCATGGCAGGGGTGTTACATTTAGTCTTGAAGGTCATTTCTTTCAGAATTTTATCAGTAAGGTAATGTAGCCAGAGCACATTAGTATAAGGGTGATATTCACCCCAGCAGTTGTTGTTCTCCTTCCTCATTAGCCTGTAGATCTCAAACTGGTAATCACCTTCACCTGTAAATAGGTCCTCATCCATGGAAATGTCACAGAAAACCATGATCCCATCCCGCTCCAAGCGTGACAGGGTGTAGTCAATGATGTTGACTTGCAGTCCACGGCTGGGGATAGTCCTTGTCTTCCCGTTGAGGGTGTAGTGGAGCTCTTTGAGGCTGGTTTTCTTTAAGAGCACGTTCCCCCAGTGTAGGTCTCGGTGCTCAAAGTGCAGTGATGCCTCTGCCACAGCAAGGGATGCGGTGATTTGGTGTAGAATGCTCTTTGCAGTAGCTATGGAGGACAACTCCTTTCTCATTTGCTCTAAGTCAGTCCCTCCAAACTCAAATTCCAGCACAATGAAGAGCTGGTCTTCTTCAAAAAAGTCAGGGCGGTCATTTGCAGACCCTCTGGTTGAGTTATAGTGATCCCAGGCTCTGAGGAGCAAGGGAGGGTAAGATCCTTGAACACAGTGCACTGAGTTCAGCCCAATAAAGCCTTCGGTGCTGTTGCATACCTGATCAGACAAGAGGCTCAACTCTTTGGAGATGATGATCTCTGGCAGGATTTCCTCAAAAGTTTTCTGATGGGCTCCATTGACTAAATCTGGTCCTTCAACAGCAATGATTTTTAGAGCTACAGGTATATGATTAGCAATTGTTCGAAATACTTCGCCAAACACCCCTTCCCCAATCTTCTCACAGCATTCCAGTTTTTCTGTGGAAAGGCAGTAACTAAAGGGGATAGGACCCTCCTGGTTGCATTCCCTGTAAACCTTTTCAGCATCAGACGCCTTTTTGTCTGTGACATGTAGTGTCTTTAAGGGGGTTAGCAAATACATGGAAGAGGAGTGCCAAGGGGACAGAGCACTGTTTGTTCTGTTCGTGACAGGAGGGTTTGAATATTCTGATATGAGGGAGCCAGAGAGAGAACTGGCAATGGCGTAGCTGCTGCATGCTTCTGACACAGTAGTCACAACCTTCTTCTTGTGGAAACTGAAGGAAGCCCTGGCTTTGGTCCAAGAGCAGTCATTCTGTAAATGAGTCAGGTCCTGGGTGAGGAAAGAGTCTTTTTCTACCTTTAGGCTCTTTTTAAACTGGTGGTAATGGAGGAGGGAGGTTTCTGTTGCCTCCTGATGTTTCCTTTTCTGGCTTGACCCAGTTCTCTCAGGTCTGTTGACTTCTCCAGGTACAACACAACCCTGGCATCCACTGGCCTCCTCATATTCTCTCTGTACAGCCCCTTGAGCCTCAATCTCTTGACAAGAGTCCTGGTCTGTGGCCCTCTTCTTATGGATGCTTGATAAACCTAGGCTGTCCATCCTTTTCCCCACCAGTTCCCTTTCACAGCAGGCCTCCCTCATATTCTTCCCATCTGCCCCAAACTCAGAATCCTCAGGGTTTCCTGAGTCCATAACACTCAAGAAAACTGACTTGAGGCTGGCACAGGCTTGGTGGGCCAACCCGGTGAACCCTCCTCCTCCTCCCGCTGCTGCCTCCTGGGAGCAGGGGTGAGGTGGTTGGTCCAGAGAAGCGGCTGGGAGGTGGGAGTCTCTGGGAACCTTAGAGGCTGCATCCGGAAAAGCGGAAGGGCCAGTACAGATGACACTGTCTCCTGGCTCTGGGGACGCAGAGCCGGGGCCGGGAGAGGCCAGAAGGCTGAACAGAGAGGCACTGTTGCCCAGCTCGCCACCGTCCCTTGGCTGGCTGCACACACTGAGGTCCGGGCTGAGGCGGCCCGGGTTGCTGCTGGGGAAGGGCGGCGGTAGGAGTGGGCCGCAGGGAGTGCTGCACTTCTGCGGGGGCCGAGATCGCAGCCTCAGGCGTCTTGGGGTCACGATCGGGCTCGGCCGGTCCTTGGAGATTCGACCGCCAGCGCGCCTCCGCCGTTGACCCACCTGGCTGCCGGAGAAGTCGGGGTCATCAGAATCGTCGGAAGCGACAGACTGCGAGGGTTCCTCGCTGCTGGCGTTGCTGCTACTGCTGCTGCTGAAGAAACGCTTCGGATCTTGCGGCGGGAACCACTGAGCAACTGCCCGGCCTGGCCGCCGCCGCAACCCCCAGCCGCCCGCAGTCCCATACGTTCTTAAGAGCCGATTCCTGAGTCGCGGGAGTGACGCCGCCATTTTCGTCACCCGCCAAACGATTCGAATGCATACACCGCGAGACTTCCTTCAGACGCTGACGCACCCGCCCGCCGGCCTGCTCGCCGGGTCCTAGCGCCCTGTCTTACGCACGCGCATCACGACGGTTCTCGCGGGAGCTGGGAGGGCGTCGGTGACTGGCAGTTTGCTTTCCTCATTGCGTTGCGGGAATGGCTCTCGTTTCAGGCGTACACTGTGTGCACTCAGAGTCAGGAGCGCGCTTGTGGGAGCGATCCGGTTCAGGTGAGCGCGGTGATCCCGAGAGGCCGAGGGAGGGGGCAGGTTCTGAATTGGGTGACATGAGAGGCCCAGATGCTACTTTAACGAGGTTTTCCAGAAAAGTAGCACATGCAGGGCAGACCCAAGGCCCTCTTTAACCTCTTCACTAGGTCACGTTTGCCAGGTTGCGGCTTTGCTAAAGCCAAGGTGAACGCCGAAACTGCTCACACCCTCTTACTCTGGGATCTTAAGGTGCTGTGGGTGCTAAGTGTTAAAATTCCAGCTTTTCCATATGAAAAGGGATTGTGCTAACTAGGCTTTCCTTTTACAGCATGTGGAGGAATGGCATTCAGTGAGCTGTGCCATCACTTCGGATAAAGAAAATGTAACCGTAGCTGTGGAGCTCTCCTTGAGTCAGTCTGAGCAGGTACTTGAGACTGAGAAATGCTCCAGATTTAATTATCCTGCAGCTCACGGACACCTGTCTCTCCTAGAAAAGATAATAGCATCTCAAATATAACATGTCGCTGATCCACCTTCTGCCCCAACCTGTTACCCAATTACTCAGGGTTACTTACTACTCCAGTTTCTTAGTAGGAATCCTAGGAATTACTTGCTATTCCTCTCTTTCTTACATCCGCATATCTATTCCAGCAGCAAGCTCTGGAATTCCACCTCCAAAATATGTTCTATATATCCATTCAGTTCTCTCCATCTTCACCGCTTCTGTTGTAGTTCCAGCCCCCATCTTTTGCCCAGACAATTGCAGCAACTTCTATCTGCTCTTCTTGTCTCTGCTCTTGCCATACCCTGTCTAAACATTCTTCACCATAATAGCTATCTTTTAAAAGCAAACATTGTGCTTTTGCATACACTTAGACTAAAATCCATACTTTTTGGGTCGCCTGCAAGGAACTACATGATCCGGTCTCTGATTTCTTCTTTAACTTAATCTCCTAGTACTCTCCTCTTTCCTGCTTCTTATACTCCAGCTATTCTGTCCTTTCTGTTCCTCCACGTTGAGATTATTGTTCTGGCCACAGGACCTTTGTACTTGCTGTTCCTTCTGTATGACACTGTTCTTCTCCCAGATCTTCATGTGTGTGGTTTCTTCTTATATTTAGCTCAAATGTTACCCTCTTAGCGCTTCCCTGATCACTCATTCAGAAGTGAGAACTATGATCTAGTTTAACGTCTTGCAGCGATTCAGGTGAGAAAGATAAGATCTAAACTGAAGAAGTAGCTATGGGGATGGAGAAAAAGGGACAGTTGCAAAGAGACTCAAAAATATGGAAGAATTGTTAAGAACTGACTTGAGGCGGGAGTGTGGGTGGGTGAGGGTGTTATGTGAGGTAAAGAGTGAGGGAAAAGAAGTTGAGAAATAACAGCAGGTTTCTTGCTTGGATAACTATGGTTGCTGAGGCCATTAACTAGGCTAAGGAATACTAGAGGAGGAACACGTTTAAAGGAAAGATGGTGAACAAGTCCATGTCTAAAACATTTCCTCTTCTTGCCTTCCCTCTTATAGTTACTAAGAGATGTAACTGAACTGCAGATCCTTGGTGAAATATCCTTCAACAAATCTCTTTATGAGGGGCTGAATGCAGAGAACCATAAAACTAAGGTAATCCCTGGCTATTTTATGGTTTTTCTGGGTAAGTGTCCTAGGAAAACTGTGCCTAGCCTTGGAGCCCCTGTACAGGTGCTTTGCTATTGCCCTATTCCTTTTTTCAGTCTTATCACCTGATCTTGACTCTGCCACCAGCTGCCTCTGTGACCTTGAGCTAGTCACCTTTGTCAGTTTTTCCACCTGTGAAATGAAGCTATTGAAAAGAGGCCTAAGTTGAGTAAGTCTAAGCTGAAATAATTAGGCTGGAATCGACAGCTGCATATACTTTGATCTGTAAAAGGTATTTTTTAAAAAAGTTTCTGAAATGAGAAGTTATTTTTTGTATGTATTAACTCTCTTCCTAGTATGTAGTATCAATGTTTGCGTACAGTATTAAAAAGTTAGAATACTCAGGAATGCATATTCCCTTTGACGAGTCTTAGACTAAATACTAGAACGTTTGGGATTTGTTTTGCAGAAGTATGACTACAAGACAAACTGCCTTCTGTGATCTATGTGTGCTCCCCTTAGTTGTCATTCTTGTTGACACTCACCTAGATGTGCTGCTGGCTTCAGAGATCATCCTCTTTAGTTAGGCATGATTCATTACTAGAGAGAATGTCAAGAGAGTGAGACAGGATTGCTAACTATTAGGTCCTCTGATTTTCTCCCTGGAGGAGGAGAAAGCAGTTCTCTAGACATGTCAGAAATAACATTTCCTTTATTTTTAAGCATTTATAATCCAGGAAATGGTAGGGAAGAAAGAGATGTGCCCCATTATCTCACTGCCCAGATTTTTGAAAAATAGAAATAATGGCAAAAAAAAATCTAAGCCTTACAGAAAGATACCAAATGAAAAATAATGGTTCCTTCATTGCCCACTTCCCACACCCCTGACTCCCTCTTTTCAAAAGAAGTTACTGTTAACAGTTCTCTATATGCACGTTCTTAAATAATTTATTTATATACTTCTCCCCTTACTTAATTGATGCTTTTATTTCTACAGTATAGATTCTTCAATTATTTTCCTTTCTTTAAATTCAGTACCCTAAGCAAAGTATTAAGTAGTTCCCGACAATAAGTACCTGACTTATAATGAATCTGTGAGTATAAATAATTGTGTATCCAAGTACATTTCAGCATCAAGTAAGGGAAGACTCCTGTACTGTAAAGGCATTATGTTGTTCTTCTAGTGAGAGAGGCAGACCAGGGTCAACGGCTAGCTCCTTTGAATCTTGTGCATACATCTGTGTGTTGGTGATGCCTTCCCTCATAGCCAGCACCAAGCTGCCACCTTTCCCAATGCTATATTTTCACATGGCAGAATACAAAATAGGAAGCAAGAGGTCAGTAGCAAAAGGATTTTTTCTTTACATGCTTTCTCTTTTCAGGGAGGAAATTTTTCCTAAAAACTCCCAGCACATATCTCCTTATATCTTAATAGTGGGAACCGGATCTCACGTCAGTTACTGTCAAAGGGGAATAGCTTTGTCATGATTAGCTTAGACCAATTATTATTTCTGAACAAAATCTAAAAAGAGAGAATGGCTGTCGAGTAAGCCACGATCAGTGTTTGTTATATGCAGTGATATCCTTTGGCCTGCTTCTCCCTTCACCTCTACCAGGGCAGCTTTGGGGCACTTTAGAAACCCGTGGGTTTGCAAGAGGGAAAAGGGAAGAGGCTTTGAGAAATAGGAGGATTTCTTTTACTCAGATCTTGACTATCCACCACTATCACCTTGGGACTTCTTCCATTACTTTCCTATACTCCCCCTCCCCACACTTTACTCTTCTGTAGAAGAAAAAGCGAGCTCTCTTCTTAGTCTTCCTCCCTCTTTGTTGTTTTGCTCCCTCCTACTCTCAAGGCCCTTAACTCTTGTTAAGTTCAGCTATAGAAGGTCAACCCTAGGAAGTAACCAGCATTTGTAACTTAATTAGAAAAGATCTTAAAGATAAATTTGTCCAGCCATCCACTCCGATGCAGAATTTCTCTCCAAAGCATTACAGACCTTAAACACTTGCATGAAAGAAACTCAGTGTTTTGGGCAGGCAGAGACGTTTAGTGGCCCTTTGGTGTATGACCACAACTTGGGAAGGCCATATCTGGATCTCACTTGGGAAGCACATCCCCTCAGCTTTCTAGCTGAGTCCTATCAGTGAGAAGAGAGCTTAGATTCTGAAATGGAGTGAGCTTTTAGACAATGGTGCTGGGGATGGTTTCTAATGGAAGAGCTCTACAAGTTTACCCATGCATGCTGTTTTACATTTATTATCGTGTGTCTGAAGTAATATACACTTTAGTCTGGTGAAGAGCAGACCATATCTTTGTAATATCTTTTGTGTGGGAAAAATGTATTCATAGACTTTAGGGATTTGTACAAGCTCAAAAAGAGCTGTCAGAACAGAGTTGGGGAGAACTTAGAGATCATTTAAAATAGGTTATCATTTTGAAGATGATGAGCTTGGGGCTCAAGGATGTGTAATGACATAGCTGGATATAGAATCTTAATTTTGTCAGTATTCTTTAAAACCCAGAGATCTTAATCCTTTTGGGACCCTCCGTTACACTGTCACGATCCTTAACAAGGTCACAATCCCCTGACAGACTTAGCTCTTTGTCTATATTAGAAAACAAAATGGTTTCTATAAAGTATTTTAGTCATTAGATAATTTCACTGTGCTCTGTTTTTTTTTCTTTTCAGTTTTTGTTCTCTTTGCTTTTCGAGAATTCTGTTGATTTATCCAGCTTAGAGATTCTTTCCTCAGCCACCCATGTTCAGTCTACTAATGAACCCCATCAAAGGCATTCTTCATTTCTGTTACAATATTTTTTATCTCTAGCATTTCTTTTTGGTTCTTTCTAAGGATTTCCATCTCTCCACTTATACTGCTTAGCTGTTTTTGTCCTTGTTCTTGCAATACTGTCTATCCATTAGAGTCTTTAGCATTTTAATCATAGTTGTTTTAAATTCCTAGTCTGATAATCCCAACATCCTTGCCATGTCAGGTTCTGATGCTTGCTCTGTCTCTTTAAATTGTGTTTTTTGATTTTTGGTATGCCAGGTAATTTTTTCTCGATAGCTTGACATGATATATCAGGTAAAAAGAACTGCCGTAAATAGGCTTTTAGTAGTAACGTGGTGAAATGTGGGGGAGGGGAAGTGTAAATCTTCCTACAAGTAGGCCTCAGTCTTTTAGTGAGCCTGTATCTCTGGACTGTGAACTTCACAACTGTTTCTCAGTTTTTTTCAACCCCCTTAGGTGGGACAGGATAGCTAGAGTGGGCTTAGGTGGGTATTTCCCTTCCTTCAGGTCTGTTAGGCTCTGATAATAATACCCCAGTAGGTTAGGCTGTGGCTAACTAGTTCCCTTGAGAGCAGGCCTCTTTAAGAAGAATGGAGTACTCTAGCTTATTTCAAAATGGTTCCTTTTTGAATGGGAGGGCAGTCTGGCTGCGACATCTTTCACCCCATTGATCACCAGGGTCGATTCAGCTGACTCGGTGAGTGTCCCTTTCCTCCCCGATTTCTCCATGTGTGTCCCTCTGGAAGCTGTGTGCTTGAAGATGACCTTTCCCGATAGAGGAGAGGACCGTTCTTCAGTCAAGAGCATATGCGTAGCTGTGCTCCCCTGCTCGGACCCCCCAAACAAGCTCTCAAAATGGTTCCTTTTTCCTTCCCCCTGCCAGAACCTGGTTAAGCTCCTGGAGGTAAATTTTTGGGTTCACTGGAATTTTTAACTCTCAGAGTTGTCCACAGTGAGCCTCCAGCAATCCATTATAGTTCAGGCTTTCGTACCCTGGCACTGGTAAGCCTCTACACATATTTGGCTCAAAATAATGCAGGGAGTTTTTTTCTCATTTGCTTTACTTGACTTATTGGATGATCTGTCTTTTTCTAGATCACTGTCATCTTCCTGAAAGATGAGACGTACCTTTCTTTGCCTCTGATCATTGGAAGCAGTGTTGGTGGCCTTCTGGTTTTGATTCTCATTATAGTCATCCTATTCAAGGTCAGTTCTATACTGTTCATAAAGGCTCTGGTGTTGGGCACAGTCCTTTCTGGGACAGTCAGCCCCTGACTTAGAGCAACTGCCAGGAAATGAGTACCAGGAAATCTTGTGGAAAAGGCAGCACTTAAGATGGGTGTTGTAGGACTGTATCATTTGGGAGAAATTTCAGAGAAAGCTTGAGAAGCAGAGGAGGTATAAGGGCTCTTTTGGCAACAATCAGATAAATGGTTTTCTAAGATAGATATCTTAGGTCTGTAATTTGGGCTTCTTCCCTTTGTTTTAGTGTGGCTTTTTTAAAAGAAAATATCAACAACTGAACTTGGACAGCATAAGGAAGGCCCAGCTGAAATCAGAGAATCTACTCACAGAAGACTAGAACCAGCTTCCTCATTCATTGAGAGAGAATATCAACCAGTCCTCGAACTTCTAGAGACTTGACGTCATACTAATTACTTTTTCCTTCAGGATGATCAAGAGAAGAGTCTAAGAAATTGTTTGTAGACTATTGTTTTTTAATAATACATTGTCTCAAAAGTGCCTCCATTTTGTGAAAAATAAATTTGAGAAACATTTGGTGTTAAATAGTGTTAAACTGTATTCTTTATGGAAGTGCTTTTAATATGCAAATATAATATACTTTGTGATTTTTTTTCCTCCAAGAGGAGGTTATACAGCATTTCCCAACCTTATTTGCCTGAGAATTCTTTTTTCTTGGCATTACTATTAACATCTCCCAAAATAGTGTTCTATGAAATACATCTTGGGAAGGCAGTAGTTATAAGCAATTCCTAGACTGGTATTTTCAAGATCCTAAGATCTTGTTGCCTACTATTTCAAATCAGGCCATGAAAAACTACTCTAGAACAAATATAAAAAGTAGAAAAACAAAAGTCATCAAATAGGAACTAGGGAGGGAGAAGAAAATAAGACCAGGATTTTGTTCTGTAATTTCATTTTTATTGTATGTATGAATATGTCTCCTAAATAATACTGTGCCAGTCCTTTACTGGCTTCCTGCTTAGTTGCTCAGGGAGACTTTCATTCCTTAGTAAATACTGTCACCAGGAGAGAGCACTTGTCCACAGCAGGAGACGGAACCTGGCCTGGGAGTTGGAGGCACAGAGATTAAGGCTTATTTACAGGCCGGCTTGGCTCTTAATATCTTATTTTTACGGCCCATGCTGTTAAAGCTTGACATCTCCCCACTCCTGAGAACAGTCTTTGTTTTCATGGATTATAAAAATCATTGCAAAAACTTAAATGGTGCAGAAGTATGTAATATAGAAAGTAATCTGTGTAATCAGTCTTTATCTAATTCAGATGATTTCATTATTATTTCTTTTGAATTTTAATTCTTTGACATTTATGTGTATACAGATGTGAATTAAGGATTTAACCTAAGCGGTTTTTTTTTTTTTTCCTCAGAAGCGTAACTACTTTCACAGCACCACTTACTGAAATACTTAACTACCTTCTCTGCTTATCCACGCTTTCTGTATCACAGGGGCTGGAAAGCTTTAAACATTTCCTAGACTGCCTTGCAGTGGGCTTCTAGTTTAGGTTTTGCCAGTGAGAAGGTTTGCATGAGACTAGAAGGTGGACAGATGGGAGAAGGCTTTCTTCTGGTTCTGGAAGTGGTGGTGGCAGATGAGTACAAGCCCCCGAGCAGCGGCATGACAGTGGGCTCCAGCAGTGGTGGTGGCTTCCTGCAACTCCTGACCCGACCTCTGGGTGATACCAGCTCTCCTGTTTTTATTTTGCAGCCCTTTCAACAAATTTGAAACTAATTTTCTGTATTAAACCCTTTTCTGCTTGAAATACCTAGAGTGGTTTCTGTTTTCTTGATGATCTTGAGTCTAGTATTCCAAATGAATAACAGTTGTCTCTATCATTTAGTGAAGTGCTCATTGATGATTTGAGATTCTGCTTTTGCCAGTTATGAAGTTCACATATATGTCCATATATGAATTCTGGAAATTTAGTTTTGTTTCATGGATCTGTTTGTTCCTGTATCAGTACCACAATTGAAAGCTCAAATTTTTTATCATTATGCAAATGATAAATTCGAAACAGCACAACGATGTCCAAAAAACAAAACGTCTCTCTTTTCCCATATCTAATCTCCCTGTCCAAAAGCGACCACTGTTAATAGTTTTTCAGGTATTTTAAAATATTTCTATGCATATATCAACATAAAATTTTTTAAATATACAAATGGCATTAAATTGTTTCATGTTTTGCCTCTTGTTTTTTCATCTAATAGAATTTAGATATCTTTTAACAGCAAAATCTGCAGATCTACCTCATTCTTTTTAACGGCTCCATAATATACTCTTATATGTGGATATGTCAGAATTTACTTAAGTCCTTACAGGTGGATCTTTAGGTTATTCCCATTTCCTTTTTTTTTAATTACAAAGAAAATGTGTGATGAACATCTTTAAATGTGTCCTGGTGTGCTTTTCAAGTATATTGATGGGTAAGTTCCTAGCACAATTACTAGCACAATTACGAGCATTTAAAATTTTGATAGTTGATGGCAATATTGATGGGTAAGTTCCTAGCACAATTACTAGCATAATTACGAGCAAATTTTGGTAGTTGATGGCGACTTGACCTCCAAAAAGTTTTTACCAGTTTATACTCCTGCTTAGAATGACAGTGCCACTCTATGCTCTTGCCACCACTGGGCATTATCAAATTTTAAGTGTTTTGCTAATCTGATCAGTGTGATCCAGGCCATATTCTGTGCGTTTGTAAATAGTACTCACATACGTACATATACAAGATAGAGATTTTTTAGTTTTTTTTTACATAAAGAGGATCATATATTTACCATTTGTGACCATTTTCAAGGAATGACGTCAGAGTAAATGTGGGTGGGACTGGGAATAGGGAGAGGTGGTACCTTGGATTAACATGTCTATGGGGAATTAAATTTGCCTAGCTCTTTACAGTTTGTAAAGAAGCTCTTTCAGCTTTTTCCAAAAGTGGAATTAAAGACATTTTTATAATCTCTATGCAATGCCGAATAGCTTCCCAGCAGGACTGAACCACGTTACATGGATATCAGCAGCTAGAACCTGTCCTGGGATCTCTGTTTTCACTTAGTTTTTTTGCTTAATGGGTATATAATGATATCTTTACTTTCCTTTAATTGTTGGCAAAACCGTATGTTTTCCTGTGAAATAAGACGACAGGCTTTTTTTTTGGGGGGGGGTGTTGTTTTTTTTTTTATGCTCTAGGCTTTACTTTTCCTTTCTTGACAAAATCTGGCCATATTTTCTCATTAGCTCTTTCTGAACTGTACCATCTTCTGCATTTCTCCTTCTGAACTTCAGAGCCTCTGGGCAAATAAGGGTGATTTGACTTAGAATTAGGGAGCAATGTGCCCTCCACAATGGGGGATTCTTGCAGATTCACTGGTGGACATTAGGAAGCGGTAGCCATTACTGGTGGTCTGTCTAAAAGAGGAACTCTTCCTTAGTACCACAAAGAAGCCAGGACCACAGTGCAGGCCTCCGGGAGAGCCAACTGGAGGCTCTGCTCCTCCCTTCCCTCCCGGAGGAGAGGATTCTGGGTCTACCTGGCCAACTCCTAGAACCCTATAGCCAGATGCAATCCTGAGAGCAGAATGGTTGGGGATGGAAGGCGTGGTCTCTGGAGATAACTCCTCTTCTGTCCAGGGCCTGGGAAGGGGGCCTGAACTAGCAAACCTTTTAGATTTCCTGGTCTAGGAAAAGGCTAGCAGTCTAATTCCTAGAATTCTACACTGGGGTTTTAGTGTCCTTTGCCTCCCGGATGAAGAGCTCACTGGTAGATTGACTAGCTGGTTAAGGACCCTAGCACCTTTGAGTCAGGGTTTTCTAACTTTTGTGTGTGCCATAGGCCCCTTTGGCAGTCTGGTGAAGCCTAGGGCCCCCTTCTCAGATTATTTCCCTTATGAAAATGACCAAATATACAGAAAAGTTGAATTTTACAGTGAACACCTGGTTTCTTCCATTAACGTTTTACTTTGCTTGCTTTATCATGTGTTTCTTCATCTGTCCATTCATCAGCTTGTTTTTAAACACATAAAAGTTTAAAAAGAACCAATTATGTTGAACATGATCAGAACATTAAAAAAAATTTCATGATATGGAGCTATATGTGTTTCTTTAATAATGTATTGAACAGCGGGTCTAATAACTTTGCTACCCTTTTTTTTTTTTTTGGTCATTGAATGATCTTTAATTGAAATATTTTCCTTTGTAGTTCTTAACTAGCTGGGCTTCCACTACACCACTGTTGATGTCATGAGAGTGGTGGACATCAACAATGCAGCCCACAAACTGGGTAGTCCCCAAGATCTCTTTAACGGTTCCAGAGAATTCTCTAGCTAAGATTGGTGCTGCATCTGTCAGGCAATGTTGACGATCTCATCAAAAGTGATATTTCTCCTGTGCTTATTTATTTATTTATTTTGTCTCTTGGCAGTTCTTTGACGACTTTGCTGATCAGGGCAGAGGCAGAAGGTACTGCTTCAATCTGGGCCTGTCTGTTCTGAATGGTCACTTTAATCCTCAGCCCCTTCCAATCACCAGTTGCGTTATTGATGTTACCCCCAAACTTTTTGGGACACAGACCCAGGGGGCCAATCTTGGGGGCCAGGGCAGATGGGCACCAACCTCTCCACCACTGGTGCACCTCTGGTATATGACTATTATCTCATTGGGGTTGAACTTCAGAAGCATGGTGGAGGCAGCTGGTGTAGAATGAACCCAGATTTCGATTTGGGACAACGGAAGAAAGTTGCACCTTGGTCCCCTCTGAGCTGAAAGCCAATAGACCTATGCTACTTTCAAAGTAGTGATGACCTTAGAACGTATTTTGAGGTATTTACAATACCTGTGAGATAATGGGAAAATATTTGTAATTGCTCTTGATATTAAGATGGGGGTACTGCTAATCCTATTATAGTTTGTTGCCCATGTTCCTAATTAAAGGAGATGTTAAATTTCAGTTAAAGGGTGGTAAAAATAAGTAACATTTTTTTCTATCCAATTTTACAGACTTCCTTCACTATACACTCCGGTTTATTTAATAAAAAGCATGTGGCTTGCCCTGGGCTTTGTACTTTTTCAGCTGATCTTGATCCCTCCAGCAGTACTGGCTCCGTTTTATGGAGGAGGAAACACTTGCCCAAGCCTACAGGGCTGGTATAAGGCAGAGACATTTTTGCAGTAGCGGGTTTTTGGATCTGCAGTTCTAATGTTGTGGTTTTTGTTTTGTTTTGTTTTGTTTTGCTTCACAAAAGCTTCATTATACACTGGACAAGGCAGAGGCGACAGCACGGGTAGAATGGTGTTTTTCAGACTTTGCTGAGCAGAAGAGTTGCAGTGGAGCTCAGCTCTTCAGGTTCCTTGGCCCCGCCCACTAAAGGCACTGCTGATCTAGCCTGGCTTGGGCCTAGGAATCTGCTTTTTTGGCAAGCATTCCAGGTGATTTTGATGTAAGGGCCGCACCATGTGAGATACTAGTTATGAGGTTGGGGTTTGTTCCTCTGATTACACTGTATCAATAGGTAGCCCTTAGCACAGACTTAGAGTCTTGATGACTAAGAAGTTGCTTCAGGAGACAAATTTAACGTAATGCTCTGGTAGAATTATTTTTGTTGAACTCTATGAATATATACACAAAAATAAAGGCTTAGTCACTCAGACGCTTAAATATGCAGGCTAATGGCAGAGGCAGGGTAATCGGGAATCAATCCATCCTCCCTTCCTTTCTTTCCCCCTCTCCCTCTTTATATCTCCTTTGTCTCCTTCTCCTCCCCTTCCTTTGTCATTTCACAAGCTTCCATGACTACATACTTTATGAAGATCCTATGGTACAAAGAGTGGTAAAGCCCTTTCCTGCCCTCGTAGCCCGAAACGACAGATAAGATATGTACCCAACTGTAACTCCCTAAATCGTACAAATCCTGTCCTTTGGAAATTTAGAGAAAGAGGGATCTGGGAGGCTTTCATGAAGGAGACAGACCCCTGTAAGCTGAGCCTTGAAGCCATGAAGGACTAAGGGGAGACCAGCCTGTGCGAAGGCATGGAAGTTGGGAAGTACGGGAAATGATAAAGCATGTAAACCAATTCCCTGAAGCTGAGTATGCGTAATGGGGCATGTGAGGCTGGAGGGGCAGGTGGGGAATTGCAATGAAGAACAAGCAGTGTTTCTATGAGGATTTCCTACTCATTCTTGTTTGAGTACCATTACAGGCCTGTGAACTTGAGGAGAGTGGTGAGGAGGGGATGGATATGAGGAATTTCATGAAGGTTGGGGGGAAACCACTTCAGGGAGCAGGAGGAAGAAAAAGATGAGCTTTCGCTGAGGTGTGTGTGTGTTGAGTTGTCACTGCTCTGTGGGTGTGGTTGACCTGAGTTTTAGTCTTTATCCTTCCGAGTGCCCAGTAGAATAGCATTTGGCTTTTTACTCCCTTTAAGTGTTCGATACCTCAATAGAGTTTTTCCCCAGGTCAGATTTTGAGAACTAAGTAATGAGTAGCTACCCATCAATTAAGATGGGTCACACAGGCTTTGATGGACTTGGAAATGCTTCCCACAGAAAGGAGCTTCCTTTTTCCTGTTGACTGTATCGAAATGATATTAATAATGCATCTGCTACTTCTTAAATGGACCAGTAATGTCTATTAATGGAATGTGTTTATCATAGCAGGACTGCCAGAGCAGAAGAAAAATTAAAAGATAAATTGCTTTGTGGGGCCCTTTGTGAAACCTTTTTCATGCCATGTCTTTCCCATTCTTGTCTCTTCTGGGCCATCCAGAATACTTAGAGCTCTGAAGGAATGCTGCGTCTACAGATAGTTCTCAAAGGCCTTGTGTTGACCTCCTTTTGTAGTCTGGGACAGTCTCAAATCTCCTACCTCTAGGCCTTGCACAAGCCTTCTTTCTTTGCAGGGTGGGAAATAGAACCACATTCACTATGTGTAAATAAGTATGAACCTCTATTTCAAGAACTGTATTATTTTTGGGGATTTGTGACCCCTTCTGCTTTGGGTATAATGGGTGTTGGGTCTGACCTTGTGGGCTGGTGAGCTGGCCCCAGCCATGAGGAGGTAGATTGCAGATACTAGGGTTTGCAGCTTGTGAGAAGTGTTTTTCACACTGTCTTGACCATGACCCACAGGAAGAAATAGATTCCACATTATAATATCATATGTACACACTCATATGTCAAACAAGTTTCACGAAACCATGACTACCCTTACTTTCTTAAACACACTCTGATTTCTTCCCTCTCCTCCTTTCTCTTTCTCTCTCTCTCTCTCTCTCTCTCTCTCTCTCTCTCTCTCTCTCGATATGCTGGTCATAACCCAGCAAATTGACATCATTACCCAAGTAGTCTAAGAGCTATGCTGTGAGGGAGCCCACAGGAGGAGTCTGGCCTGACCTTGAGAACAGCTCTTTCCCCTTTGGTCATCCCTGGTGTGGTCTCTAAAGCTTCAGGATAGTTCTGTCAGAAATTGCAGCCTGGGCCATGGGGTATTCAGGAGGGGCTGACCATACTGCAGGGCAAATGAGAGCAGAGCCCTTCCTCTGAAGCCAGAGGGACAGTTTTGACAACCATAGAGAACAGAAGGCCTGACATCTCAGCCTCTCCAGCAGCACACAGTAAGTAGGTACTCAGTAAAGGTTTAAGGAAGTAAGAGCAGAGGAGAATGCCCTGGACTGGGGCTAATCATATGCTCTGCTCTGTGACTTGGGGCCTTAGTTACTCCATCTGCAAAATGAAGGCCTGGCCTCTGGGGAATCCCCTAGCAGAACAAAGAGGCCACAAAACCTGGAACCCCCTTGGGGAATGGAAAGACCCAACATGGCAGCATCCTATATGCTGCTTGTACAAGGGTGGGGGCCCTGTGGGGGTGATGCTTTCCACCCTGGAGCCCTTCTCCAGGCCAGACTGTGAGATCCCGAAATGCCACCTTCCCCTGGGGCTCAGGTTGAGGGCATCTTCATAGGTGTGATATCACTTATTGGAGCTGCATCTCCTCTTGAGTGTTGGAGAGCTGTCTGAGGGGAGGGCTGAGGAAGAGGCTGGCAGGAAAGTGAGGAAGCTCACTCTGGTTACAGTTCCCAAGCCTTTCCTCCAGGATGATTCGGCTTCTACAATCCCTAGTCATGACTGGGATGGAGTGGTAGCTCCCAATCCCTTTCTGTTTAAAAAATCAGGCCTGAGTTTGTTCACTCAACAAATATGTACTGAACTTTTACATGGCAAGCCTATCGATGAGCGTGGGATGCAGAGATGTCTAAAGGCAAGGCCCCTGCCCTCCTGGAGCTTATGGTCTTAGTGGGAGACACAGTCAATAAGTAAAAGAGATCACATCCAAGAGTGACAGGTGCTCTAAGAGCATAAGGAGAGGTCATGGGTTAGAAAGTGATTGGGGTGGGGATTACTTTTGGTGGCTGGTAATAATAACAGGCCTTTTTGAGGAAACGACATTTGAGTTGAAATTGATAAAAAGAGGTGAAGATCTGTGCTTCCCAAATGGTGGTTAGAGAGCAAACTACAGACTCCCAGGTCTCACCCTAGATTTAGCAAATGAAAATATTAGTGGCAGGGCCCAGAATCTGCATTTTTCTTCCAAATGATTCTCATGTGCACTAAAACTGGAGACCTACCGCCCTGGGCTTTCACTTTTGGAGAGGATCACATCTGGTGAATTTTGGGGTCCCTTCCAACTCCCAGAGCCTATGGTTCAGGAAAAGGAAGTTCTCATTTGTTTGTGAAGGCCAGACCAGAGAGAGAAGCAGAACTGCTTCTGGTAGATGGCAGGATGGCAGGATGGCAGGATGCAGAAGATGAGCAAGCACAGCTCCTCACACACAAAGAGTGAGCCCACAGGGAAGGCCCTGCCTCTGTGGCTGATCTCTGAGATGCCCTCCCTCATCCCTGCTCCTGCTACCTCTCATTTAATGTCACTGGATGTGAGGGTTACAGTCTTAGCGACCATGACTAGGTCTATCTCTTGCTTTGGGAACGTTTCAACCAGTTGGTGCATGCCCTCTCTGCAGTCCTATTTTTTGATCCTGAGCCTTGGTTGCCTGTGTCTCCCCACCCTACCCCATCTGCCCCAGACATGGTGTTCTGCATGCAGTGGGCACTCGGACCTGCTTAGCAACTGACTCCTCAGGGAGTGTGGGGTTTTACACCTGCCTGTAGCTGCCACTGTACGAATTACAGCGGACACAGGAGCCATGAGACTGTCAAGTGTTTAGTCTCTCCCGGCTTCCCTCGGGGAGCAAGAAAAACCAAGAAACCTGTTGTGTTTACCCATAAATGCTCTTTATCCCCTCTTCATCTCCACTTCCTGTACTATAGGTCCTCCCTCCCCTGTCCTCAGTCTCCCCATCTATTTAATAGGAAGAACTACTGGGATTTCTTTGGAATGGGGGGGGGGAGGGGCGGTTTGCTTTAAAAGGAACTCTCTCCTCTTATCTCCTCGCTCCTCCCGCGCCGCCTGCGATTTTCTCCAGCTGGAGCATGTGCGGTCCCCGGCCTCCAGCAGTGCCTGCCCAGGCCAGTGTCGGGCAAACAGTCCGCTGGTGTCATTGTGTCAGTTCAGGGAAGGGGAAGAGGTGGCGGCAAGGTCGCAGTCCACGGCTCGGCGCTGCCCCCGCCCAGCTTCCCGCGGTGGTTTCTCAGCTCCACCAGTAACCCCGCGGCCCTGCGCACCCCGCAGCGCTAGGC